GCTTGAAAATTTCTACCCACTCCCACAGCTAGAACTAGAGAAGATTATCTCCTCTGCAAATTGTACAACCTGCACACTTGATGCAATCCCCTCAAAATTACTCAAAGAAGTACTACCAGTTATCATTAATCCTCTTTTAACTATAGTAAACTCGTCCCTTAGCCTGGGCCATGTACCCAGAGCTTTTAAACTAGCAGTTATTAAGCCTCTGATCAAGAAACCAAACCTTGATGCTAGCATATTGTCTAATTACAGGCCTATATCTAACCTGCCATTTATATCTAAGATCTTAGAAAAAGCCGTAGCCCAACAACTTAGTTCATATCTACATAAGAACTACATATTTGAGAAATTCCAATCTGGATTCAGGCCACATCACAGCACTGAGACAGCTCTAGTTAAGATAACAAATGATCTTCTTCTTGCCTCTGATCAAGGCTACATATCCCTGTTAGTGCTACTTGACCTCAGCGCAGCTTTCGATACGATAGACCACAATATTCTCCTAGAAAGGTTAGAAAACATGGTTGGAATCACAGGGACCGCCCTATCGTGGTTCAACTCTTACTTAACAGAACGTTATCAGTTCGTAAAGGTAAATGACTTATCTTCCAATTATTCACAAGTAAGATCTGGAATTCCGCAAGGCTCTATTTTAGGACCATTATTATTTACATTATACATGTTACCGTTAGGCACAGTTATAAGTAGCCATGGCATTAACTTTCACTGTTACGCAGACGATACGCAACTGTACATATCAGCCAAGCCTGATGACAAATACAGGTTAAAGAAAATAGAGGACTGTGTAAAAGATGTGAAAGGCTGGATGTTACGTAACTTCCTCCTCCTAAACAGTAACAAAACAGAGGTTCTCCTTCTGGGTCCAAAAGTGGCAAGAAATAAATTATCAGATTTAACTTTAAATCTCGCTGACTTTCCAGTTATACCAGGTTCAGCAGCAAAAAATCTTGGTGTAATACTTGATCCAGATTTATCATTCAATCAACACATAGGCAGTATCACTAGGACAGCTTTTGTACATCTTCGCAATATCGCCAGAATAAGAAATGCCTTATCGCTGCACGATGCAGAAACATTAGTACATGCCTTTATTACCTCAAGGCTAGATTACTGTAACGCATTACTGTCAGGATGCACCAGCAGGAATTTAAGTAAACTTCAACTAGTTCAAAATGCTGCAGCCAGGGTTCTCACTAAAACTAGAAAATTTGATCATATCAGTCCAGTTCTATCATCACTCCATTGGCTGCCTGTTAAATTCCGTATAGATTACAAAATTCTTTTATTGACGTATAAAGCCCTACATGGGCTCGCTCTTGAGTACCTGCAAGACCTTATTTCCCTTTACGAGCCACCACGATTACTCAGATCACAGAGTGCTGGCTTTTTAATAGTTCCCAGAATTCAGAAGGTTTCATCTGGGGGAAGAGCCTTTTCTTATAAAGCCCCCAAACTCTGGAATGATCTTCCAGAAAATGTTCGGGACTCAGACTCAGTCGCAAAATTCAAATCTAGGCTGAAAACTCATTTGTTTAGTTTAGCTTTTGGTAGCTAATGTTTCCCCTTGGATAAAGGCAGCAGATCCAGGGGTCCATGGACGCAGGGAATTATAGTAAACTGAGACTGGTGCTGTCGTCCCGCCGCTCACACGCGATCACTCAGGTTTGTGGACGGTGGAGCGGAGGAATGCCAGATTGTTTCAGGGTGCTCCCGTGTCTGTGTGCCCTTTTGGTTCTCTCCTTTTAGTTAAGCTGTTATAGTCAGATCTGCCGGAGTCGTTAGCCACACTCTGGAAATGTTTTACATACTACTATACATACACCTATACAGAACTAAACTAACTCCGTTTCCCTACCTTTCTTCCGAGAAAACGACTGCTCACCTGTCCGGCCGGACACTGCTGGATGATTGTTTGTAGAGCTCTCCGGCTACCCGCTTCAGACCAGTTACCCACAACCCAGTCACCGCCACCTGCCTTGGACTGGCTGCCCACTCTACACTGAAGTCTCCTAACTATTACTACTATTACTATTAATATTAGTAGAATAATAATTTTGTACGTAGTTTGACCAGAGGAGGATGGGTCCCCCCATGTGAGCCTTGGTTCCTCCCAAGGTTTCTTCCTCAACTGAGGGAGTTTTTCCTTGCCACTGTCGCCCCTGGCTTGCTCACCTGGAGGATTTACATTTCATGTTGAAACTTTGTTCTAAACGGATTTCTGTGAAGCTGCTTTGTGACAACATCAGTTGTAAAAAGCGCTATACAAATAAATTTGATTTGATTTGATTTTTTTATTATTAAGGCTTGAAGAATGCTCTTCCCCAAAAGGGGAAGCACTCACTGGTTTTTCAAATATTATCCATGTGGTTTTGTCAAAAAAACAGGGTTTTGTTATTTAAGTTGATGATTAGATTTCTTTCATAGTTTCAGTGCAAGACTGAACAAATTTTCATTCTTACCAAGATTGCCAGTAATTGTGGAGTTGACTTTCACACCACCACAGTATGAAGAGAATGAAGAGTATCATCTTAATAATGCTGGCCTACCATAACCTCCAACTGTGCTATTCTACATAAAATCAGTTTGAATAAACAGGCTTTGTGTTCAGGTTTCATTGATTCAGTAATCATCTCTTTCTCAACTTCCAACATTTTCAGTGTTTTACACCATTATAAATGCTAATGTAATATTATATACCCAATAAACAACTATGAAAATTGTGCCCTAACCCTTTGATAATAATACACTATAACATTAATAGTATAGCACTATAGCATTAATAGTCTAAATATACATATTTAGACTCATGGCTGTATACTGGCTTTAATATTCTGATAATCATTACATGCCATTGTAGTCATGATATTTAGCTTTTAAAAGTATGAAAATAAACTCATAACAAAAAAAAATTACATAACATACCACAGTGACTTTAACTGGTTAATATACTTGTAATGCTCATTACCTATGTGACAGTACTTAAAACGTCTTAAATATCGGGTAAAATTAAATTAAATACAACTTTTAACAATGTGTATACGTACATAATATTTTATGTTTATCTATCAAGATTTCTCTGATTTGTTGGTCCATTGCCCTGTGCTTGGTGGAATCAGACTGATTTTGTATTATACCATGGCCACAATGATGCCAAGGAAACCAAGGAAATCCAATGCTGAATGAAAAGCTCCCTTATGATAATTGTGACAATTACATTTGATTGGGCTACAGTCTTTAACTTATTCTCCAGGGTATATTTTGTTTTTTCCATCTGAATTTACATGACCAAATTGTAAGGCAAATTATTCAGTAACTGCATGAAATAAATGTAAATTTTATTTTTTTTTTGTAAAAGCTCCCCTTAAATTAACAGTGAATTAAATTAAATGTGTTTTATGATCATACACATATTGCTATATGCTTACAATTTACTACTGAAAGCCAAAAAACTTAGATGCTCTTTGTATTATTTTATAAAAATATTTTTTACATAGCAGATCACTGATGAGACTCCATCTGTTTATAGTTTATAGCCCAGATTTGTGGAAAAATGGGTCAACTTTCAGTAGACAAAAAAAAATTCAGTTTAGCTTCTTTTATTATTAGGGTCTAAAATTACATCACCCATCTATTAGACTAGAAAGAAGACAGTTACAGCTCTCATATGACACCCACTTTTTGAATGTAGCTTATGAAATATGAAAGTTATGAAGAATATGACAGTGCATTTTGGAACCATCAGTGGTCTCAAGGAGTTGAAGAAAAAAAATAAACAATAAATAAGCATTAAGCTTGGGTCATTATTACTGAGGTCCAGTTCTTTCAGGAAAGAGGCTTCTGTTTGTAAACCAGCTGCAGAGTCTCACAGCACTGTTTACTGAATTAACATGAGTTTACTCACTTGTGTTGTGCAAACATTAAAACTATTTATTTTCCTGATTTTCCTAATTTTTTGACCTTTTATATAGTTCTGTTTTTTTTTTTCTTTCTCTCAAATTCTTGTGCTTTTACATGTTATTCTAAGCTTCATGTTCCTAGCTAGATTGTGTTTCTTGAACTCTGGTATTTTCTTGCCTGTTCTGTTTTAGAGCCTGGACTGCTTCTGGATTCTAGGATGGGTATGTTTATGCTATGCCAGTCTGCCTGTGTCTTGATGCTTGCTTTAGAATTTTAGAACTTCCTTAAACAAACTGAATTATCAAAATAAACATCTGTTCTTAAGATGCAATATATTTGATGTTGGTAATTCTGACGTACAAATCTAAATCTCTGTTGTCAGAGCATACACATGATAAATACAATATATTTAAAAAATCCCCTTGCAAAGTTTTATATAGCATTTTATATAATATATATAAAATATATAGTTTTATATATAGTGTGAACTCTTCAGTCCAGCAGAGAGCAGCTCCACCTCTGAATCCTGAAGGTCATTATTACTGAGGTCCAGTTCTTTAAGGGAAGAGGCTTCTGATTATAAAACCAGCTGCAGAGCTGGACTGTTTGCAGGGTTTACTCCGTTGTGTTAAAACTATTTTTTTTCTAAAGTCTTTTCTTTCTCTCAAAGTTTTACATGTGCTTTTAGATGGTATTCTAAGGTTCATTTTCCTAGTTAGATTATATTTCTTGTTCTCTATTTTTTTCTTGCCTGTTCTGGTTTTGAGCCTGACCTGCATTTGTTAGTTTCTAACATGAGTATGTTTCTGCTATGTCTGTCTGCCTGTGTCTTAATCCTTGCTTTAGACTTTGACTTAGATTCTTGCACAAATGCACAGAAAACAGACCTTCCTCACACATTACAAACTGCATTATTAAAATAAGCATCTCTTCTTAAGATGCAATCTAGTTGATGTTGGTAAATCTGAAGTCAAAATTTAAATCTCTTTTGTTACAACATAAACATGACAAATACAATATATTTACAAAATCTCCCTGCAATATTTTCAGCTTTATTCCACAATGAACTGAAAACTGACCTGAGTGTCTCCAGTTTACAGTGTGAACTCTTCAGTCCAGCAGAGAGCAGCTCCACTCCTGAATCCTGCAGAGTTTACACATAGCAAACCTGAGAGAGAAGGAGAGTAAATGTAACACACCTTACAAATGTAAACAAATTTACTTACAATGTTGTGCAAAAGGTACAACTCCTTTATTTACTAATTGAACTGTTGTGTCAGAAAAAAAACATGATATATACAAATATTTAACAGAGTATAATATCAAATTTAGGAGGTTTTTTGTTCACTCTGCTGTTTTGAGTTACAGCTGAGTCCTCTTAACAAAATACATTCCAAAAGGTGTTACTGACATTGTTATCCTGCAACGAGACACTAAAATTCACACAAGCAGAACTTATCTGCCTAGTAAATTTCTTTCTTATGTGTAATTAAAATGGCTAAAGGAGATATTTTGAGAATATTAGATATAAGACAGTCCACTTGCAAAATATGTAGAAAAAATTGTTCCAAATTAAAAAACAATCACTACCTTGGAACAATATGAAATGCAATGCACATATGGCATTGCTTTTCCATAGTGATATGCAAAATATTTGCCAAAATGAATAACAAACCATATATTACACAATTTTCACATCATTTAACCTCTTTACTAAAAATACATGATTTGCATTTTTACAAAATGCTAAATTTGTGGCAGAATTTAATACAATTCACTGTGAAAATAAATCAAGTGACAGTTATTGCTTTAAACTGTGAGGTGCTTCAAACGTGTATGCCTCATTAAAATTCAGTCATTAAAGTGAAAAAGTTAAATGCAATGCACAAGAGACTGTGCTTAAACCAGAATAACATGCAGAAAATGTGCCAAAATGAAAAGCAAAAGATGCATTTCATTAATTTAACGTTGCTTGATCTATTAACAGAAAAACATGTATATTTGCATTTTAAATAATGAAATGCTGAATTTGTTTCTGAACTGAACACAGATCACCTTTAAATGCAATCAACTAGCAACTGCACTATATTTCACTGTGTGGTGCATTGAACATGCCAAAACAAAACACAATGTAGTCACAATGTATTATATTTCAGCCCAAGCATTGTGGCATTTGTGGCAAAATGGAAAGTAAAGACTGTCTGATTGTAGTCTTCTACTGAATTCGGGATGTGGCTGAGAAACCAGTAATCGCTCATAGCTATAACTTATTCCAAAGGAAATGTCTTTTTGTGACCGAATAAAAGGGGAAATGAACTCTAATTCTACTGCAAGTCATAGCTAAGACCAAAGCGCTTAGTGAGGACTTCTGGTTAGGCACTGTGGCTGCTCACAAGACAGGGAAAAATAAAGCCATATAAAAGTGTTTTCAAGTGTCAGTGGCCACATTGCAAAGCATAATCAAAAAGTACAAGTACTTTGACACTGTGAAAAATTTCAAAGGGTGTGGTAAGAAGCTAAAAGTGACCCTGATACTGACAATAATAATACGCATATTATTATTATTGTTGTTGTCGTTATTATTATAGTGTGTGTTAATGTATATGTCTGTCTGTCTGGTCTGCCCTGTGATGGACTGGCGACCTGTCCAGGGTGTTTCCTGCCTTCCACCCACTGACTTCTGGGATAGGCCCCATCTCTCCCAGCGACCCAGAAGGCTAAGTGGCTTTGCATGTGTGTGTGTGAGAGAGAGAGAAAGAGAGAGTGTGTGAGCATTTATAATGCTGGTGGCAGCTTAAAGTGCTTTACAGACAGGTGATAAAAAGCAGGTATACAAGAAATTGTAAGTATTCATTTAGAATCATATAGGAAATTAATACAGATCAAATTAAAAGATAAATACCATGAGATGTAAAGTTTCAATTAAACTTTTTGGATGCTTCTTAAAAGTCAGCTCGACTGTCTAATTAAAATTTAACACAATAGTCGGAGGCTTCCAAATCTGCTAGCATGCATTGTTCCAAAAACTGTAAAATGGTCACTGAAAGACGTCATTTGTAAACTATAGGCTATTTTTAGCACCTTTGTGACAAGAAAATAAGACATACCATGGAAAATCAGAATAACCTTCTGATAAAAGTAACATTTGAAGATGACTTCACTGCTTGATGGGATGCTTGCCTCATCCCTTCCTCCTGCCATCTTCAAATAAAAGTTGTGGTGCGTTGCATTGCGGGATTACCTTACCAGCTTAGGAACATCTGATGCTCTTTCAATATTCAGCCAAAATAAGATACCTCAGTAGGCAGCATATTTGAAGTATCTCTAAATTGATACAGTCTTTTTGTCGGGAGCGTGCATATTGTGATGTAAAATGCTGTCTATGTAGAGAGTTCACTAGGTTTTGAGACATACCCATTGCGTGCAATGTAACTACTGCAGAGAGGTTGGAATTTTATTTCCTCCTCAAAATTAAGATTCAATTCCTACAAATTTTGCCAAAAATTACCAAGCATCTTCTGTCAATGATGAACTCCTCTCTTAGCCTACCAAAACTCTTAAACTAGCACTATTAAAACTTCATCCCTATTAGCAAACAAATTATAGACTTATCTCTAATCTTCCCTTTATAGTAAAAATTTTGGAAAAAGCTGTGGGAACAACAACTAAGTTCCTACTTGCATAGATATTACATACTTGAAAAATTTAAGTCTGGCTTTAGGCCGCATCATAGTACAGAGACAGCATTAGTGAAAACTGGTTCAGATTTGACCTGACTGAATATACTGAATTAAAGTATGGTGTGTTTCATCACACCTGGAGTACTGCCTGGTGGTATGGTCAAGTGTTACTAAGAAATATTTTAAAAACTTTACAATTGTACAGAACAGAGCAGCCAGATTAGCTAGCTCTTCATTGTTCTTTCCCTGCTAATGTGTGTGATATGCATAAATGATTATCATGGCTAACTATGGAGGCTAAACTGACGTTTAGTCTTCTATTTTCATGCATAATGTTATTAGGAATAATACACCAAAGTTTTTTGTGAAAAACTAGTATTTTCAGGTTTTTGTCATGAGTATATTACATGTCAAGTTGTGCCAAGTCCATAGTCTAATAACTTGAAGAGAACTTTTCTTTGTAGGACTTCCTTGGTTTGGAATACGGTACTTTTTGACATCAAACAAATTATAAGTAGATTTTCTCTAAGAAAGCTATGTAAACAATATTTGTTGAATCTCATATAAGACCCCATTTCCAAAAAAGTTGGGGCGCTGTACAAAATGTAAATAAAAACAAATTGCAATTGATGTGCATATCATTTAAACTCTATATTTAGTTGAAAATGCTACAAAAACAACATTTTAGATGTTGAATTTTTGAAAAATAAACATTGAATTTAATGTCAACAACATGTTGCAACAAGGTGGGCTGGGGGATGTTTACTGCTGTGTTTCATCACCTCTTCTTTTAATAGCACTGTAAGCGTTTGGGAACTGAGGAGACACTGCTGTAGTTTTGAAAGTGGAATGTTTTCCCATTCTTGTTTGATATAGAATTTCAGCTGCTCAACAGTTCAGGGTCACTTTTGTTATATTTTTCATTTAATAATGCCCCAAATGTTTTCAGTGGGCGACAGGTCTGGACTGCAGGTAGGCCAGTTTAGCACCCAGACACTTTTAATATGGAGCAATGCTGCTGTAATACATGCAGAATGTGGTTTGTCATTGTCTTGCTGAAATGATCAAGGCCTTCCCTGAAAAAGACGTCATCTGGATGGCAGCATATGTTGCCAAAACATGTATATGTCGTTTAGCATTAATGGTGCCTTGACAAATATGCACATCACCCATGACGTGCACCAATGCATCCTGATACCATCATGAATACTGGCTTTTGAACTGTGCACTGATAACAAGCTGAGTGGTCTTTAGCCCGGAGGGCACAGCGTCCATAACTTCCAAAAAAGAATTTCAAATTGATTCATCGGACCACAGCTTTTCCACTTCCCCTCGGTCTGTTTTAAATTACCTCAGGCCCAGAGAAGGTGGCAGCATTCTGGATCCTGTTTGTATATGATTTTTTCTTTGCATTTTAGAGTTTTCACAGACAGTGGTTTTCAGAAGTGTTTCTGAGCCCATGCAGTGATTTCCACTACAGAATCATGTCTGTTTTTAATGCAGTACTGCCTGAAGACCTGAAGATCATGGCCAGCAAACACTGTTTTTTGTACTTGTCCCTTGCATATGGAGATTTCTCCAGGTTCTCTGAATCTTTTATTGTTATTATGTACCATAGATGATGAAAAGCAGAAGTTCTTTGCTATTTTACATTGAGAAACATGGCTTTTGAATAGTTGCACAATTTGCTCGCACAGTCTTTCAGAGTGGTGAAACCCTCCTCTTCTTTACTTATAAAAGACTCAACCTCTCTGATAAGCTTTTTTTATACCCAATCATATTACAGACCTGTTGCCAATTAACCACCAAGTGTTTTTAGCATTACACAACTTTACCTGCCTTTTGCTGTCCCCGTCCCAACTTTTTTGAAACCTGTCATTGGCATCAAATTCAAAATGGGCATATATTTTTCAAAAAACAATAAAATGTCTCAGTTTTAACATTTGATATGTTGTTTTTGTACTATTTTCAATTAAATATAAGGGTTAAATGATTTGCACATCATTGCATTTTGTTTTTATTTACATTTTGCACAACATTCTTTTTTAGAAATTTAGTTCAGTACTTGTGAGTTTAAAAACCTGATTGCTTGAGGAACAAAGCTGTTGCAGAGTCTGGCAGTGATGGCACAGATGCTCCGGTACCTTCTGCCCATACGGCAACAGTGAAAAAAGTCTGTGTGAGGGATGGATGGGGTAATTCACGATCCTGGCGGCTTTGCGGATACAATGTGTGGTGTAGATGTCCATGATGGAGGAAGGAGAGACCCCAATGATCTTCTCAGCTGTCCTCACTATACGCCGTGTGTCTTGCAGTCGGAGGCGGTGCAATTCCCAAACCAGGCGATGATGCAGCTACTCAGGATGCTCTCCACAGTCCCCCTGTAGAACATGGTGATGATGGGAGGGGGAGATGAGATTTCTTCCACAGGAAGTAGAGGCGCTGCTAGGCTCTCTTGTCTATGGAGTTGGTGTTGAGGGACCAGGTGAGGTTTTCTGTGATGTGAACACCGAGGAACTTGTTGCTCCGGACTATTTCCACAGCAGAGCCAGTGATGTTAACTGGGGGGTGGTCACCTCGCATTCTTCGGAAGTCAACAACCATCTCCTCCGCACCAGTCTGATAGCCGCTGCATCTCCTCTCTGTACGCTAACTCATCATTCTTGCTGATCAGACCCACCACAGTCATGTCATCAGCAAACTTGATGATGTGGTTTGAGCTGTACTTTGCAGTACAGTCATGAGTCAGCAGAGTAAACAGCAGTGGACTGAGCACACAGCCCTGAGGGGCACCGGTGCTCAGTATGGTGGTGCTGGAGATGTTATTACCTATCCTGACTAACTGAGGTCTTTCAGTCATGAAATCCAGGACCCAGTTACAGAGGGAGGCATTCAGGCCCAGCAGGCTCAGTTTTTGAATCAGCTGCTGAGGGATGATGGTGTTGAATGCTGAACTGAAGTCTATGACCAGCATTCTGACATAGGTGTCTTTATTGTCCAGGTGGGTGAGAGCCAGGTGGAGTGTGGAGGAGATGGCATCATCTATTGAGCGGTTGGGGCGATATGCAAATTGCAGTGGGTCCAGTGAAGGAGGAAGCTGGTCTTTAATGCGCCTCATGACAAGGCTCTCAAAGCACTTCATGATGATGGGATGGTAGTCATTGAGGCAGGACACTGGAGACTTCTTCGGCACAGGGATGATGGTGCTGGACTTGAAGCATGTTGGAACGACTGCAGTGCTCAGAGAGATGTTGAATATGTCCGTGAGGATATCAGCCAGCTGTTTGGCGCACTCTTTAAGCACTCTGCCCGGTATGCTGTCGGATCCTGGTGCTTTTCGTGGGTTGACTCTGTGTAGACTTCTCCGCACATCAGCTGTGGACAGACACAGTACCTGTTCACTTGGAGGAGGTGTGGTTTTCCTTGCCGTCGTGCCATTCCGTGCTTCAAACCGAGCATAGAAGTTATTTAGCGCGTCTGGAAGGGAGCCATCACTGTCACAAGCAGGCGGAGGTGACTTGTAGTTGGTGATGGCCTGGATGCCCTGCCACATGTGCCATGTGTCAGCAGTGTTTTGGAAGTGATTGTGGATTTTCTTTGAGTAGGCACGCTTAGCCTCTTTGATGGCGTGGGAAAGCTTGACTCTTGCTATCCTGAGGCTTGCTTTGTCCCTTGACTTGAAAGCCTTGTCACGGCATGCGCACCTTTGCAGTCATCCATGGTTTCTGGTTGGGGTGAGTTGTGACAAGTTTGGAGACAGTCACTGATTCTGTATACTTCTCCAGGTTGATGGAGCCACCAGAGGTTGCTGCTTCTCTGAACATCCCCCAGTCAGTGTGCTCAAAACAGTCCTGAAGAGCAGAGATAGCTCCTTGTGGCCAGGTTCTCACTTGCTTCTGGTCTGGTTTGGCACGTCTGATGAGTGGTCTGTATGTTGGAATGAGCATCACGGAGATGTGGTCTGAGTAGCCGTAGTGGGGGCGGGGCTCAGCCCTGTACGTGCCGGGGACGTTTGTGTAAACAAGAGCACGTTAGCACCCCAGGTTGCAAAGTCCACATGCTGGTGAAATTTGGGAAGCACTGACTTCAGATCTCCAGCAACAATAAACATTCACGTTTAAACATAAACTCATTCAGTGCGGCGTTAGCATTAGCACTGGGAGCTATATACACCGCTACTGTGTACAGCGTATTTAGCTCTCTTGGCAAATAAAATGGCCTGGCTCTGACAATCGCAAACTGCACCAGTGGTGAGCAGTGACTAGAGACTAGCGCCACGTTTTTACACCATTCAGTGTTGATGTAAACAGTCGCCCACCTTGAGTCTTACTGCACAGTTCAGCGTCATCCATGTCTCCATAAAAATGAAAGCACAGCAGTCTCTGAACTCACGCTGGGTAGCCCGCTGAATCCGGAGGTAGTCCAGTTTATTCTCCAAGGAACAAACGTTTGAGAGAAGAAGTGATGGAATAGCTGGTCGTCTGGGGTTAGCCATTAGCCTAGCGTGCACCCCGCCTCACTTGCCTCGCTTCCACCTTCTCAAGCATCTCTTTTGGCCAGCAGGCTCATGCAGCGCCATGGATCTTAGCAGGCCTTGCTGTGTGTTTCTTTACTGAGCTGAGCAACTGCCCATCCTGTGCAGTCTGATGCTGTTCTTTATCTGCCTTGATTGGGTGCCTCTTGCTTGACACTTTCTGGACCAGTCTGACTCTGAAAAGTCTACATTATGGTGAGTGAGTGGGTGAGTGAGAGTGAGGGCGCGTGTTTACTGTCAGGGCACACAGGTGTTTTGATCGACACAGAGCTTGGTATAATATAAATTGTTAATGTAGCTAAACATGTACCTTATGAGCCACATTTGGTGATAAAATAACTTATGCAGTCCTTTGAGTAAAGCAGAGCCCAGCCAAGATGCTGCTCCAATGGTCCCACGAAATTTAATAGTGCAACTTAGTCTAGCATGATGATTTAGCGAATACACAAGGAACTGATATTTTTCATGAAAATCTGAGTAAAAACTTGAGAAAAAGCAAACTGTTTAATTCATGAACATTGTTAAACAGAATACTAGTTAAACATTCTGTACTGCTTACAGGTTTCCTAGCTGGTCTACCAGGCTTGAAACTTTTGCCCAATCACAGTCAAAATGCTGTTGAGAGCAAACAGATGTACTGTGCTCTTTTATAAATGATATTTTTATTGAGCAGAATGGCAGAATTGACGATTTATCCATTTGAATAAAGGTCTACTGTATAACTGTGTTGCTGCCTCCGCACCACGGCCCAAACACTGTCTGTCTAAATGGCCAGTGCATGCGGACTGTATCATTCACGCTGCTGGGTCACTCATGCCTTGTAGAAGTAGCATGTGTGAATCAGGCATAAGGAGATTGAATAAAAGCACATGACTTACTTCAGATTTTTGTTAACAGTATTATTAATATTCTGATATTTATACCAAAGTAGGCTATATATCATAATTTATTGAGAGAAACAAAGCAATTCTTTGTAAAAACAGATATTCAGCACCCCATATAGCCAGAATGGAATAAATCCTTTTTTTTTAAATCACATTTTGGGATGACTCAACTGGAAGTCTGGCAGTTGAATCAGGCTCCTTAGGTCAAACTGTTAAACAGTCAACTATTTGGGGTCACCCCAACCTCATTTCTTCTACCAGCCACATTACAATACCTATGTTCCCAGCTTAGACTGTAGCCAAATTCATCAGGGATATAACAGTTGCCCTACTGTGCATTCACATAATATTTTTTATATACAATAATGAATTGAAAGAAAGCTCACCTGAGAATCTCCAGTTTACAGCGTGAATTTGTCAGTCCAGCAGAGAGCAGCTCCACTCCTGAATCCTGCAGGTCATTGTTACTGAGGTCCAGCTCTTTCAGTGGTGAATCTGAACTCAACACAGATGCCACAGCTTCACAGATGTCCTCACTAAGGTTGCAATGGTCCAACCTTGTAAAACAGTAAATAATATAATGTCCTTTTAGAAGCACAAAAGAGTAAACACTAAACCTACAGGGTGCAGTGAAGAACATTCATACTTATCTGCCTGCAGTTCTCACTGCCAATTATAGCTGAGTATGCATGAATGTACATGGAAGTTGTTTATCAAACTATGTGCAAATGTTCAGTCAGCTCTACAATATTTGGCACCATTTACAAATATGTGCAAAGAAATTAAGGTAAAGTGTTTTTTTTTTTTTTTTGTTATTTAGCTCAATTTGCCTTTAGCATTTTTGTCTCAAAATGAATAGGGCTCTTTTTGATGAGCTCTAAATGCTTAATACACAACCTTTGTAAAAATAAAAATTGCCCATGGAGGGCAGCACAGTTTTGTTGCTGTCATAATTTTTTTCAAATGGCTTTAAAATGGTAGCCCGATAGCACTTGCTCAAACATTTTTGGCCTGCCACTTAGTTTACATCATACATTAGCCTCAGTGCCAGCGCTGTGGTTACAAGAGGCTGAAGTTGGCTTCCTATTCACCTGTTTCTTTTTTGAACTTTTTTGAAATAACCAAAATTCGTGTCTAATGCACTTACTGTTTGGAATAGGCTTGTGAAATGCATTTGTATTCCATTATGTTAATATTAAATATTAGCCAATGAACCTTTTAATATGACAAAAGCAAGTGTTGTAGGTATTGTTACATTGTGAAAGTGCAGATTAAGGACTGATTTGATATCCTGTTCATTTGAAATATATTTTGTATGAATGCTGTCTTACTGCATGCATACAATGGTTAATGCAAAGTACAATGCAAAACACAGAAGTCAGAACCATTTAGTTATAACCTTTGTTAGAACTACATACAATTGAAAAAATACAGAAACAAATACAAATTAATTCACTGAATTAATTCAAGAAATACATTTTTAAAATGTATTTTAAAAATATATTTAACAAATATATTTTTGGGCCATTTTCATACATTGCAAAAACATATTTGCTAAATACATTTGGAATATTTTTTTTTCCATATGGGAATGTGGAATGGAAAATTTGAATGAGAAGCTGGTGAAGAAGAAAAGAACTAAGAGTAATAATTTTTTTTTTATGTCAATTTGATTTTTTTTTTAGTCTGACTTTGGTTCATGCTCACCAAGTTGCATTTGTTGTAGGATTATTGAAAATGTTTTGATATTTAAGCGTATTTTAGTGATGAACTAAATATGCTAATTGGTTGAATATAGTGTTTAAATATTACATTGCAGGATCAGGACTGTTCTTGGTTTTTGCAACAAAAAATGGACTTGAATTTACAATTTTTTTCCTTGTATAAGTAAAATCAGATATCCATACCGAATACCACATAATTAAAATAACTTTACAAAATTATTTTCATATACTGAAAAAATGCTGATCCAGAAGTGCCCGCGCAATATGCCCTTTTAAAACAGCTCAGCTCTTGCCCTCTCTAAAGCCTGTGCACTGACATTCATTAACATGACAATTACTACAGAATACACAAATGAAATGAGACAAAAGTGTGTAAATTTTTTTCATTTTCATTAAAGAAAATGGTACTTACAATGCTCGTCTTGTGCTTTTCACCACTGGCAGTAGTTTTCTCAGTCCTTCCTCTGATGGTCTGTATTTCCTCAGCTCAAACATCTCTTGAGTCTCTTCTGACATCAGCAACACAAACACTAGAGCTGACCACTGTGTAGATGACAGTTTCTGTGTTGAGAGATCTCCTGAGTTCAGATATTCCTGAACTTTGCTTGTAAGAGAGCTGTCTTTGAGTTCACTCAGGCAATGGAAGAGATTGATGCTTTTCTCAGAGTATTTTGTCTTTTCAATCTTTCTTTTAATGTAGTCTGCAGTGTTCTTTAGACTCTCTTCTTTGATATCAATTTCTGGTTGCAGACTCTTAAGGAGCCTCTGATTGGACTCCAGGGAGAGGCCACAAAGGAAGCGGAGGAAGAGGTCCAGATGTCCATTTTCACTCTTCATGGCCTTTTGCACTGCTGTCTTGAGGAGATCACCCAGTGTATGTTTAAACTTCCACTTTATTTTCTCACCTATGTTTTGAAGGAGTGGGTTACATTTATGACTGAATGTAAGGAAGACAAAGACGGCAGCAAGAAACTCCTGGAAACTCAAATGCACAAAGCTGAAAATGTTCTCATCCTTTTTAAAGATTTGTGTACAAACTCCAGAGTACACTACAGCTTCATCAACATCAATGCCACATTCTTTCAGATCATTCTCATAGAATATGAGTTGTCCTTTCTGTAACTGAAGAAATGCTAGTTTTCCAAGCTTCAGTACACCCTCTACTCCCAGCCTGCCTCTTTTGGATGGGGCAACTGTACAGTCCTCATTTTGCATTGTGCTGTATTTCTCACTCTTTTTTCTTGTGTGAAATAGCAGGAAACGTGTGTACATTTCTGTAAGAGTTGTAGGAGCATTTTTCATGTCTTTGTCATTTGTCAAGATTTCCTGTAGCACAGTGGCTGTGATTGAACAGAAGACTGGTATGTGACACAAAATGTGGAGACTTCTTGCTGTCTTAACGTGTGAAATGATTCTGCTGGCTTGATCTTCATCCCTGATTCTCTTTCTCAAGTACTCCTCCTTCTGTGGATCATGAAATCCACGTATTTCTGTCACATGATCAAAGTAGTTGTGTGGAATCTGTTTGGCTGCTGCTGGTCGAGTGGTTATCCAGATGAGAGCAGAGGAAAGCAGCTCTCCTTTGATTAAGTTTGTTATTAGTTTATCAACAGTGGCTGTCTTTGTTACATCAGATAGTTTCTTTTGATTAAAATCTAGATTAAGTTTACTTTCATCCAGTCCATCTAATATAAAAACCACCTTGCACTTGTCATTCAAAATCTCCCTTACATCCGCATTATGGAACTCATCATGGAAGTAACATAGAAGTTTACAGAAGCTGTACTGCTCCTCTTTGATCACGTTCAGTTCCCGAAAGGGAAAAAACAGAATGAAATCTAAATCCTGGTTGCATTTGTCTTCAGCCCATTCAAGAATAAACTTGTGTACAGAGGCTGTTTTCCCCACTCCTGCTATTCCCAATGTAAGTACTTTAGTACCAAGCACATTTTGATTGGATTGTGTTTTGAAAGTGTCACTGAACTTGATTGGTGTTTCCTCTATTTTGGGATAAAAACACTCTATCTGTCTCACTTCATGCTCAGTGTTCACTCCTCCTGTGCAGCCTTCAATTACATATAGTTCAGTGTAAATGTCTTTCAAAAGCAAATTACTCTCTTCTAGTGAAGTCCTGTCATACAGCTTTGCAAATTTTGCCACAAAATGTCTTTTCAGTGCATCTTTTACACTTCCATCTTCTTTAGCTGCTAAAAAGTAACAAGAAAACAAAATGTTATTCCATTTTTTAGTGATGTGAGTAAGGATGAGTGGTTTTGTCAGACTACACTTGTATTATACAGAATTTCTTCTATGTGTTTTCATATTTCTTTACCACTGCACACTAGCCTGACTTATATCTGTAAAAAAAAGGATATATCAGAAAAACTGTAATAAAACTTTCACTAATAATGCTTAACAGAAAGTCAAACTATGATACATACTACAAAAATTTCTTATTATATTTTATATATTTTGTCTTATTATATTTTATCATGTAAAATGTCTTCTTTCTCTCTTTTGGTACAGCACAGAGGAAGGAATGTCAAGTTATACAGTAATTAGTGGATTTGGTACCTATTCTTACATGTTAAGTTTAAAAAGTATAACTTAAAGATGTTTCAAATAGAAGCATGGACTTTTCTACATGGTCAGTATGTGCCAGAGTGAGGTCAGGATTGCTGAGCCTACAAGGTTAATATTTATCCTTTAGCTATAGTTTCCCAGATAGACATTAAGCCTACTCATGAACTATATTTTATTTTTGATTGTCAACTCAAAATCCTGCATAGTCAATGACTGGCTTAGAACGTCTAGAATGCTCGCCCACAGTATACCAACTCCAAATCACCCTAAATACAGAGAATAAGGGCATATGTCAAGGACGTATATTATGGGCACCATGATGTTTACTTTTCGATCAATGCCATGCATTAGTGAAGATAATGATGCTGATGTGTTGAGTTTACCTGCAGTGAGAGCACTAACTGAGACTCCAGTCTGAGCTGCAATGGAGGAGGCTGCTGCAGTCTTACCAGTTTCCTTTTCACTTCTGTCTCCACCTGAGAGAGTGAACGTTAGTAATGTATAAGCAGTACAAAACAAAAATATGCAGAAAAGAAAATCCCTAAGCAATTATTACTTAGTATGGAGAACAAAAAAAGGATAAAACAAATGCTGTCTAATGTTCTGGCATACTAGACATAGTCTACTTTCCCAAAAAAGTGATATAACACAGATAGCAGGTACCAAACAGCTGCCACTCTAGAGCCAAGCACTTCACTGCAGAAGAAGACTGGTTACAGTCTAAACAGTTTTTGTGTGTTTGCACAGCAGGACAGACAGGAGTTTAGGGCTGACACAGTTAAGTGTAAAGTTTAGTGTAAGTGTAAAGTCCTTTCAAGGCAGAAATAAATGTGTTCTGAGTTTGTCACACCACAGAAAAATGTATTATTAACCACCCAGCCAAATTTGAATGATTAAGAAAATCACATGTACACAAAATTAGGTTTCAAAATCATGAAAAATTAAGCACTATTCTCTGCTCTGAAATCTACTGTCTACTGAAGGCACTAGAACAACACCCAAAAATTATTTAAAAAAATTGTGGTCTAACTTCACAATTAAGCAATACATAGTTCAGTCTTTTCACCCATTTTTAGCAATTATTTTCTAACATGTATAAAGTGTTGAGAAACAAATATCTTCCTTTACACAGACTTTCAGCTTTCTCCTGTGAACACATTTCACTGGGAATGCATTAAGCATATGCTATGTTGTCATTAGAAAACGTATGTTGTAGAAGGATTCTGGATCTTCTCAGCCGCAACAGTGAGAACCACTAGGAATACGTCTAGAACTAAACTAGCAGAAAAATTGAACGAACAGTATAATTAATTTCTGTGTTTAGTACCTTGTGAATACTTTTAATTTAAAAAAACATGCAGGGCCAGATTTATGTATGAGCACAGTTGCATCACAGAGTGAGACTTCTTGTGATTGCAATATGTGCCCACAGTGCACCTGAAATTACTGTTAGATTTACAAAGACTGCATCTTATCATGCAAACCATGTGCAGCTCTGTCCAATAACCATGTGCTTCTGAGACAAGATTTAAAAGGCACACTAAAATACTGGAGCCTTCAACAAGCTTAAGAAAAAAGACTAAGAAAAACAAAGTGTTCAGTCTTTAAGAGACAGCAGCTCTTTAGCACCAACCGTTCTACAGGAGTGTGACTCTTCTAGCTACAAAAACAGAGTTTGTGAAATACATCATAAAGTTTGTGAGACAAATCACAGCATATTTTGTGCTCTGTCATCTAATATGTATACATATGTCAGCTTTTTCAAAAAATGTGCCATGTGATATCTGCGAAATGATATGATTTTCTTTCACTGTTTTTAAAGTGTTTCACAAAGAAATTGCAATTATAGACAATGAACACATTTCACAGGGCATATTCATATTGCTTATAATTTAAGCTCAACTGCATCTTTGTTGCTACTACAAGCCAAATAGATATTTTAGATTGTAAAATTGGAGTGTCTAACAGAGTGAACAGTGAGTGGACACAGCGTTTTAAAAACTCCAGCAGCCCTGCTGTGTCTGATCCACTCATACCAGCACAACACACACTAACACATCACCACCAGGTCAGTGTCACTGCAGTGCTGAGAATGATCCACCACCCAAATAGTACCTGCTCTGTGAGGAAAGATCAGCGCCAGGGCAGGACCCAAAATGTTGTTGTAAAAGCTTGTTGTCCAATTATCTTGCATGTTTTTGTGTTGTCCCACATGCCAAGCAAATGAGGAGTTTGATAAGTAGTTAATGAGTTGAAAGGGGTGTGCTAGGTTAGGGAAAGCACAAAAATGTGCATTGTGCTGCGTCCCCAAGATTGAGTTTGGGATCGCTGGTTCTGAAAGCGTGCACATGATGCTTCAGATATAATTTCTTGTTTTGAATGCAGCTTACATTTCCATTAAGTCAATGGAAAGTCTCCTCAATCTCTAGGAAATTCCTCAGTAATTTGTAGGGGCACACTCTGCTTGGATGATATAGAGAAAGTAGTCAAGAAATTCCACAATCGATAATAAAAGTGGTTCTTCAGTTTTGTCGTGTTCCTTCTGCCCAGGGTCTAGACATTTATAAGTATCTCTAATATGTTCTATCCTATTGCCCTAATAACTGTCTGTAAGAATTAAATGATATCACCAAAAAATGAAAAAAAGATAAAAAGGAACGAAAAGGACTTCATCCAGTGAGTTCTTGTGGAAGGAAGGAAAAGGCCTTCTCTTTACTGTTCATCTACTGCTGCATGACTTTAATGCTGTTAATGAACATTCCTATTTTGATCCTTCAAACCGTGTTTTTCTCCCAGAACCCCTGCTACATGCATGCTGTATGTTGCTATGATTGATTCTGCATCATGCAGCTTTTAAATTTCAAGCTCCATTAGTGTCATTCTTGATAAAACTAAAGTAATATACAGCTATCAACACGTCATGAATTTGCTACTGAACTTCATCACATCTGACTTACAAACAAATCTATCAGTAACGCACTATATTTCCAAAAGTATTCGCTCGTCTGCCTTCACATGCATATGAACTGAGTGACATCCCATCCAACTGTTCCCACAAAGTTGGGAGCATGAAATTGTCCAATATATAATATATATATATATATATATATATATATATATATATATATATATATATAAGCAATATAAGCAAATGATCCAAATAAATAAAATGAATAAACAACAAAAAAGCTAAAATACACTATATTTAGTATTCAGTCACCCATCCAAATCATTGAATTTAGGTGTCCCAATCACTTCCATGGCCACAGGTGTATAAAACCAAGTGCCTAGACATACAGACTGTTTCTACAAACATTTGTGAAAGAATGGGTTGCTTTCAGGAGCTCAGTGAATTCCAGTGTGGTACCGTGATAGGATGCCACCTGTGCAACAAGTCCAGTCATGAAATTTCCTCACTACTAAATATTCCACAGTCAACTGTCATTGGTATTATAACAAAGTGGAAGCGATTGGGAAGGACAGCAACTCAGCCATGACGTGGTAGGCCATGTGAAATGACAGAGCTGGGCTCGGCCCCTTAGTTCCAGTGAAAGGAACTCCTCGTGCTTCAGCAGACCAAGAGATTTTGGACAACTTCATGCTCCCAACTTTGTGGCCCCTTTCTGTTCCAACATGACTGCGCACCAGTACACAAAGCAAGGTCCATAAAGACATGGATGAGTGACTTTGGTTGGAAGAACTTGACTGGTCTGACAAGAGTCCTGACCTCAACCCGACAGAACACCTTTGGGATGAATTAGAGCGGAGACTGCGAGCCAGGCCTTCTTGTCCAACATCAGTGTCTGATCTCACAAATGTGCTTCTGGAAGAATGGTCAACAATTCCCATAAACACACTCCTAACCCTTGTGGAAAGCCTTCCCAGAAGGGTTGAAGCTGTTATAGCTGCAGAGGGTGGGCTGACATCATATTAAACCCTATGGATTAAGAATGGGATGTCACTCAATTCATATGCATGTGAAGGCAGACGAGCAAATACTTTTGGAAATATAGTGTTTATATAAGCACTTCAGTTCATTAACAGTAGCTTGTATTAACTTATCACAGTACTATATAAGGTATTATTAATATAAATTCTATGAATAGTATTTTTACTTTTTTTACTATCAAATTGTCTAAGTGTCTAAAATGAGATGATCAAACAGTTTATTTTAAAATAATGATAACATCTGTAGGAGCAATAGTGTACTATTCAAATTAAGTGACACCAATACATTTTGAATAGTACACTATTGCTCCTACAGATGTTATCATTATTTTAAAATAAACTGTTTGATCAACATAAAAATATAGAATGAGTAGTGTCTGTCTGTGGGATGTTGGGGGTATCCAGTTATCTTCTGTGTTTCTAGATTTAATTACTGTTTAGTGTTTTGACAGAGAAGACGAATGGTAGTAACAACTAAAATCGCTCTCTACTACAACATCTGTATTATCTCAATTTATGATTATATCAAATACCTCTGTGCGTAGAGTCAGCTCCAAAGTTGATATTAACTGTGCCATGAAACACACTTCCATGTAGAAGAGGTGCATTGACTGTTCCTCCGGTCTGAGCTGTGGAGGTCTGGACTGGTTCATTCTGAGGTCTGGTGGTCTGGACTCGACCAGTTTGATCTGTGTTCACATAAGGGCAGAAGAGTGTTACCATAAAGGACCAAGAAAGGATGTGAACAGGATACAAACAAAATCTCAGAACTAAACAAATTAAAACCAAAGGTTTTCTGTCAGCAAGCCTGCTTTAACATTATTTCTAGGCCTGAAGCTATGATCCATACCACTATCTTAAGATCATCCAAGAGCACCTTGTGAGAACTGTAATGTGAAGTTTATCTAAAAAATATTTGTCTATTACTATATTACTTTTTGGACAAAATGCTCAATAGGTTATACTGAACCTTAAAGAAATGCTAGTGCCTGTGTTCACATCATGTCTCAGTATGTTCAGTGCATTTAGGCAGATGAGGCACACCTGAACCTGCTTTACCGTGATCATTTTCATGATCATGGTAAAATTTTCATTTCCCTCATAAAAAAGGTTTTGATTTTTTTCGGGAGCGAGCACAGAAAAATGGAGCAAAGTTATTTGTTTGTCTTGTTCATTTTTCCCGGTAAATTACGCCCCATAGGCCATCTGAAATAAACTAAAGGTTAAGTCAATTTTCTCGCCTGATTTGGTGTGTCATCTGAGAGTACACATACAAAAGTTATGACGCTGCCAAAACCAGTGATCTTAAATTTTAGATTTTTTTCCTGATCCTCACACTCCTTATTTTACAACCACTAATACAGAGAACGAGAGCATACCTTATATATAATCTGCAGGCCATGGTGTTTAAGCTGAAACTGTACGTCAATGTAATGTAGTATAAAAGGTGACCATGATGATGAGCTGAGTTTACCTGCAGTGAGACCACTAACTGAGTCTTCAGTCTGGGCTCCAGTAGCGGAGGCTGCTGTATTCTGACCAGTTACCTCTTCACTTCTTTCTCCACCTGAGAGCAGACAGTAGGAATAAAAACAGATCTGTTTTAGTAACTATTATTTAGCTGGGTCATTAGAAACGTAGCTTCACTCCTGTAAGCTCCTTATGCTGGACACAGAAAATACAATCACATGTAGTGCATGGGAGATCTTGCAGAAATCAGCTGATTTGTTTCAATCATTTTAAGCCTTGGATACACTATACGACTTTAAAAGTCTGAACAGATTATAAAAAGACTGGGAATCTCACACTGTCTGACTAGTCAGTCACTGAAATGAAGTGTTCAGGTCTGGTTTAGATAAACGATGTGTCTCAGTGGGCATGTTCAGGAGATACAGTGGAGTTAATTCAGTTTATTGTGCGTTGCTGTGTGCATGAATGAAGTGAGACCTTTTGCCGACAATTTTTTGATCATGGTTTTAGTGAGTTATTAGTTTGTAGCTTCTGTGATCAGCGATTAGCCATTAGTGTTTTGTTTTGTTTGTAGCACTGAAAAATACTGAGCTGATGATGTTATTTTGGCATAAACAATCTGAAAGTTCCGTCCTCTGCCAACCTAAAAGGAACCCCAGGCTGACCACCGTTCAGATGCTGCGTTTACCTCTATTTAAATGCCCAGTTTAGATAGCTGACTGCATGTGTACGAATCTAGAACAGGGGGAAGGGGGGAAAACTTGAAAAAGGTGATAAACTGCAGTGTCCCATTCACTACACAAGTGCACTTTCCCTTTTTCCCTCAAAATCACACAAATAGGCCCCAAAACACATTTTAACAGATGAATTCTGATATTAAATATGCAACTAAATTTGTAATTAAAAATAAAGTCTGACTTGCAATTAATCAAAGTTTCATGCAATCAGCATGAATCCAAGAGGACAGAAAATCAATAAAAACATGGCCACATTATGCTAATTGTTTATTTTTACTCATAATAAAGAATAGAATGAATCATCATTAAAATTCTTGCACTCGTAGCTCACAGACACTCCAGACTAACAATTTCTGAAAAGATATCTACAATTACACTTGTTTTTAAGATCACTGTAAGTAAAAAATGACAACATTTTGCAGGTGGTAGGTAGATTTTTGATTTAAAAAAATGCCAAATTCATAAAGATATCAAATTTCTGTTAGCATTTACATGTCAAACAAAAAAATTCCCAAAAAATGTAAGTTAGGAAATCTTCACCTACTCGGTTGAAGTCGACAATCAACTGTCATGTCTGTTAACAAGCAACCAGTGATATGCACACAGATGAAACTTAAACATTTAATCAAGATCATATTAAAAATGTAAGCTACATCTACCGTGACTGATATAAAAAAAAAGTCAAAACTAAACTGTGATAAACTGTAAGTTGTAAATACTGTGAGAGTGCCCCCTGCTGTTTATCAGAGCATCGCAGCTCCCCAGTTTCAGTCTCCATTTCCCAAACGCTTTAGATGAGCGTGCTAACGTTACTCCTCCTAATAAACACGTTCAGCTCCGTCTCCTCATTATTCACCACCATCACTGTAATATTTCATCATCAACATTAACACACGAAGGTAGTCAGAGGGTCGGTGGAGATCGAGTCTGCAGCGTCTGAGATTTTTAAAACGCAGAGTTAGAAAAGAAAATCATCTCACAGTGAAAGCAGCATTTTACAGTATAAATAAATGTAGCTCATTATGCTGGTAGTGAACCATGCTGTCTGACAGCTGCCTAAAAACCATAGAAACGGACCTTAAACAGAAGTTAGGAACCTGTTGGGGTTTATCCTAAAGTTAGGAGAGTATTTAGGAGATTAGGCTAGTTAGGATGTTGGTGTGATACTGTTTTTTTATCTCGAGTTAATGAGGAGATTATGAAGTTAGGAACTCTTATTCTGGAATAGATACTGTCCTAAATTCAGTCCTTACTGAAGTCGTCATGGTGACTAAACAGATAACATTTTATAGTTATATAGTTAGATTTTTAGAAATCTAACTGTCTCACATATACATCATGGCAGTATGTGTGTATAAGGAGAGAGGGGGTACGTAGCAGGAGGTTTAATGTCTGAGGGGGTGCCAGAGTGCAAAAAGTTTGGAAACCACTGCCATATATACTATCCGATAGTCCCTTTTCAAATTTCCACAATTTTCCTGCCGGAAGTAGTCATTGCAGGGTAAAGCTGCTTCAACTAAAGCAATTACAATAGCAACAATGACAAGTGTGTATAGTTTACTCAAGTATTATAGCTTTAAGCAAAACAACCTTATCTCAGTTTTAATGGTCTGTCAGCTAACGATGAGCAGAGGAAAATGTGTTTGTGCAGTTAATAAAGGAATAAACTATGTCATATGGAGTAAAAGAACCTCTGTGTTTGCATTTCACTGCTGCTGACTTACAAGATACACTGAATGTAGTTTGTGTTTTAAAGTTGCTGCTACAGCCACTTTCAGAGGAACAGTTAATTTTCTCCCTCAAAAATGATCAGCAACTGAGAGAACAAGCTCTCATTGTTCATTCACTGGTGCCTGTGGTTCCACCTTAAATGGTGCCTCAGCCACCAGAATGTAACTGCTGCAGCATTTAAGGTGGAATGGAAAAATGTGAACAAGAAGCCGGGGAATGAGAAGCTGAATCAGCCTTGCAACTTTTTAGTGTTTGTGTTAGTAGTTGCAGATTAAACGTATCAGGAAACCAGCTACATGCTTATAAATGCAAATAAGAAAACATCTACAGTGGCGCTATGGACCCTGACGATCCGGTGCACCCCCTGCCTGAATGTGCGCGTGTTTAGCTTTTTTGCCAACTAGTGTTAGCAAGCTGTTTCAAAATGTTAAGCAATATGGCTTATCTGTTTTGGTAATAGTTATTTTCACATGTCCATCGATTTATCACTCTATAGATGTTAGCTGACGTTATTGTACTCTAAGAGCTGTAAAAGGTTTTTTTTTTCATGAGTCACTTATATCTATTATTTAGTTTGGACTCCTGCATTCTTGTGTGTTTGGTGTTCTCCAACAGTTCTGGACACATCCTTGAATTTCAATCGTGGCAACTATGTCAAAGATCAAATGACACACCCTTCTGTGGTGAGATGATGTGATACGAATACCTGTTTTCTGAGATTAGTAAATGTCCAAAAGGCAATAGCGGAACTTGTTTTACTCAGGGTAATGTTTGCTTCTATACTTCTCTACTGTGTTAGATTCACCACAGCTCTTTTTTGTTGTTTTTCTAATTATTGCCCAACAGTGGATATAGGCAGGTTTAGGCATGTAGCTATTTTATTTAACCACTGGCTGATTTATGAATATCACACATTTGTCTCTTTTCATTTGTGTATTCTCTAATCTCTAACCCCAATGTTGATGAATGACTAAGGCACATGTGTCAGACTCCAGTCCTTGACAGCCACAGCACTCTAGACCTTCAAGGTTTCTATGAAGAAGAATAGACAAGCAGTTTGTGATCAGTATTCATCTTGAGTGTCAAGAGGTGTGGTGTCACATGGTTGGTCACCATAAATGATAGTTACCTCACCCCTGACTTAATACCAATTATAATATTTTAACACCGTGTGCCCAAGGGAAATAGAATGGACCCCAGTTTGGTTCAAAGACTTTGTGGTCCTCGGGGTCGGTGACTTTTGTAAGTGTTACTGTAGCATACTCAGAAATGTGTACATGTTTATTCTAGGTTATTTGTTCTACAGCAGTTATTCTCTGGGTTTACGCAATATATTCTAAAATACCAATTATAATGCATTTCAGTCTGTTTTTGTTTGCAAGTTACAGTTTTCTTAAACCAGGAATTCTCAACCTATTTATTTGTGACTCTGTACCTCCAAACTCACCCTGAAACAGTCTATAGCATATTTTGGGGACGTGAAGTTCATAGCAGTGGTAGGTTAGCTCTGCAGTCCATGTCTGTTATAAATACCTGCTGCATTGCTATTCCGTAATTACACATGATGGCCCCCACAAACACAAAAACATTAGCTGTCTGCCTCAGAAATACACAGTGCCCACCTGCTGCGCTGATTAAGAGAGTGGCTGCTTCTAAAACCACATAGTAACATACTACAAAGCATGTCAAAAATAGTGCACCACCATTAGAAGTGTATTAATTAGTGTAGTATGTGTAGTATAGTATAAGTGGTTTGGATTGTATTTTGCTCACTGTGCCCACATTCACCTAGACACTCTGTTCTAGCTTATAATGACCAAATATCATTGAGCTGGGAGATTTTATGGAGAAAAACAGTACAAAAACAAGCTCTGTAATGTTATTCCTTTTCAAATTCACTGTTTTTTGTAAACATACACTCTGTAAATGTAAATATACATTCTGAAATGGATGTCTGCAACACATTCCAAAACAGTTGGGACAATTAAAGATTAAGAATGTTGCGAAAATGTTCAAAACATCTTAAACAGGTGATGCAATCATGCTTGGATATAAAAGGAGCATCCAGTTAAGGCCTAGTCCTTTATGAGAAATGATGGGTTGAGGCTCCCCGCTTTGCCAAAAAATGTTGCAGCCAAAAAAAATAACTGTGAAAAAATCATATTTATCAGCAAGAAATTACAAGGATTTTAAGTGTTTCACCCTCGAGAGTGCATGATAACTTAAAAAATCCCCCAAAAAGCCAAAAAATACCTTGGAACATGTGTGACTTGTAACCCCTCAGACAGCACTACATTATAAACAAGCATGTTTCTGTGAGAATATCACCGCATTGGCTCAGGAATATTTTGACAAACCCTTGTCAATAAACACCATCTATCGCTGAATCCACAAATGCAAGTTAAGACTGTACTACACACAGTGGAAGCCATATATCAACAGGAGTCAGATTACAACATGCCTTTTTTAAGGTTCATGTTATTTTAGGACCATTACTCTTTTTGGATTCATATGAGGCACACCTATCTAAGCTTTGAGCCTATTAGTGGGAAATAAGTTTAAATCATAGCAATACTAGAAACACTATTTTTCGGCACAAAAATTGCTAGTTATTGACACAGATTGGTGGTATTTTTCACTGAATTTAATAAAACCGCAAGTTTTTATTGAATTCATTCAATAAAATTAGCTGCTTTATCATTTTGGCTTAATTTACACAAAATCTTTTAGTATTACCTATATGAGGCAAAATCTTCCTAAATAAAACAAACAAAAGTGTTGAAATGTTCAACAGATAAAATTTCTCCTACTAATATTTCACTTATTGTACCATTTACCTCAGTACTTTAATAAGCTTATTCTTATTATTATTATTATACTTATTATTAAGTATTTTGCAGCGTTACAGTACATTATACATTATTAAGTAAAATATCTGTCAGAACACTCAAACATTAATTCATCAATTTGAGGAAAATGCACAACTTCAGTAAAAATATGAATCAAATAACTGAAAGTAATTTTACCTTTTTCTGGGTTTAGTCTATATGTCTTCATTTTGAAAGCCCACGTCTTCATCTGGTTGAGCAGTGTGAGTTTACAGATCTACAGATAAGAACAGACATTTTTCGTCCCCATTTCACAACGGATCACATTAGTTGGTTTAGTTACAAAACATGCGTGCTCTGCTTCACCTCTGAATGTCAGACTGAACTGAATCTTACTTCTCTAAATGACACATAACCAGGAGGACAGAAACCTGTCAGAACATATTCCACATTCCAGTTTGTTAAGTATAAATGAAGAACTCACCCAACATGTACATGTCAAAACATGTACATGTTGACGTCATTTATATACAGATTAGCTACATTCATTTAAACACAATTCCTGACATTTATATCTAGTTCACATTTCCTCCTTAAGGATCACTACTATATTTTAAGAATGTGAAATGTCAGAATAATACTAGAGAACATTATTTATTTTGGCTTTTATTTCTTTCCAAGTGGCTCAGAAGCTTAGTATTTTTGGTATTTGACAGCATTGCCTTGAAATTGTTTAATTTGGGTCAGACATTCCAGGTATCCTTCCACAAGCTTCTCAAAATAATTTGCTGGAATTTTAGTCCTAACAGAACTGGTATATCTGAGTCAGGTTTGTAGCCCTCCTTGCTTGCAGAAGCCTTTTGAGTTCTTTTTGAAAGACCTATTTGCACCCAAGCTTTTAACTTCCTGGCTGATGTCTTGAGATGTTGCTTTGGTATCTCCACATAATTCCTCTTCCTCATAATGACATCTATTTTGAGAAGTGCACAAGTCCCTCCTGCAGCAAAGCACCCCTACAACATGATGTTGCCACCCCTATGCTTCACAGTTGGGATGGTGTTCTTTTGGTTTCTCCAAAAAGATATTTGTCCTCATGTGCAAGTACAGCTCCAATTAACTCAAATGATATGATGATCAGTTAGCCTGTCAGAAGCTTCTAAAGCCATGATATCATTTTCTGGATTTTTTTTCAAGCTATTTGAAGGCAAAGTCAACTTACTGTATGTAAGCAGAACAGATCCACTGATGATACAATAGCCCTGACTAATAGAACACTGCCCTCTCCCATCTGTACAAGAAGAACACATATGTGAGAATGCTATTTGTGCACTGTAGCTCAGCATTCAACACCATCATGCCCTCAAGGCTTGACATTAAGCTTCAGGATCTGGGTTTGAACAGTTCTCTGTGCAGCTGGATCCTGAACTTCCTGATGGGCCAATGCCAGGTGGTAAGGATGGGCAACATCACCTCCTCCTCACTGACCCTTAACACCAGAGCTCCTCAGAGCTATGTGCTCAGCCCTCTCTTGTACTCTCTGTATACCCATGACTGCTCAGCCAAACACAGCTCCAATGTCATCATCAAATTTGCAGTTGACACCACACTTGTGGGCCTACACCCTCAGAACATTCTACACAGGTACTGTGGAGAGCATTCTAACAGGCTCGATCACCTCCTGGTATGGGAACTGCACTGCCGTCGAGCGGAAAGTTCTGCAGAGGGTGGTGCAAACAGCCCAGCGCATCACCGGGGTCCAGCTCCCAAACCTTCTGGATTTATACACCAGGCACTGCCTGAGGAAGACCAGGAGGATTCTAAGGGACTCCACCCACCCAAGCCATTGTCTGTTCTCACAGCTGCCGAGAGAGAGAAGATACAGAAGCGTAAAGTACAGAATAAGTTATTACTTCACAATGAAATAATGAACCTCTGCTTCATGATTACATCAACAATTTTAATCTTTTATATAATCATCTGTTCTTTTATAGGAATGATGGGATCCATCACAGCAGGCTTGGTTCGCAGATTTTGACCTTTTTTGTTAATCCAACTAATCATTTAAGCATTTAGTCATCCCAGTCACCCCTTCCCTCCCTAAACTCAAACCTCAAAACACAGACCTCAAAACCTATACTTACTTAAAAATAATGACAGATTCTAATAGTTTCAAACTGAAAAGTCTTAGGCATAATTCACTTTAGGAGCTTGCTTCAGCATGGTAAACTAGATCATCTGATTTTTTTTTTTATTTGGATTTCATAAGCAAATCCAGATATTAAAGAATTAAACAATATAACTCAGAAGTACCCCAAACTGATTATAATCTACACAGTGTTGATAGGAAAGTAAAGGGTGGCAGTGTGGTTATTTATATTAGATCTACAATCCAATTAAAAACTCAATGCATTATCCAAAAAGAAAAGTTTTGAATTGTTAGCCTTAAATGCATGTGCAGGACGCAATAACAGTTTTGTGGTAGCTGGGATATAGAACTACTTCTGCACCCTCCATGCTGTCGATGAAATACCTGAACTTTCATCTCCATACATCAACTCAGAAATGCTGATCGTAGGTGATTTTAACCTGAACTAGTTTAATAATGCATTCGAACACTTGAAGAAAGTATGTCTGAATCTCTCTCTCATGCAACTAGTTACAGAATCGGCCTGACTAATCTTGCATGACCCCACCAGGTCAACACTAATAAATTTAATTATATCTAACAGATCTGATAAAATTACATCTACAGTTGTATTTGACCCTGGTTTTAGTGAGCATGGTCCTATTGGATTCATTAGAAGCACTAGCATAAAAAAGTAAGGCTCTCGGGTGGTGGTTACAAGAAATTTTAAAACATTTTAATAGCCAAGCCTTCTTAAATGATCTGACGCTCCGTGATTTTCATTACATGTCTGAAATCTCAGATATTGACTTAGCGTTAGACTATTTTAGCACTATCCTTGGTTGTTGGGAAACAAGCATGCCCCTTGTTAGAATTCTGTGGAGTGATGAATCACACTTTTCTATCTGGCAGTCTGAAGGACTGGTCTGGGTTTGACGAATGTCAGCCTCCCACCAAGCTTTGACCCACACCAGTTCGCCTACAGGGTAAACAGGTCCACAGAAGACACCATTGCCACCGCTCTTCACACAGCACTGACCCACCTTGGACACCAGATGAGCTATGTGAGGATACTTTTCATAGACTTTAGCTCTGCCATTAATACACTCATCCTGGGCAGACTGGTCACTAAGCTCACTGACATAGGACTTTCCCAACCCATCAGCAACTGGATCAAGGACTTCCATCATAGGGCTGTGTGTTGAGCCCCTTTCTCTACAGCCTCTACACTCATGACTGTGCCCCCATCCATTCCACCGACACACACAGAGATGAAGTCCAAGGACTGGCTCTGTGATGTTCAGAGAATAATCTCACCCTGAACTCCTCAAAAACTAAAGAACTCATCATGATTTCAGGTACCTGGGCACACACATTTCTGAAGATCCTTCCTGGACCACCAACACCACAGCACAGCAGTGATTCTACTTTCTAAGAATCCTCAGGAAAAACAACCTGCAAGAGAAGCTTCTGGTGTCTTACAACCACTGCTCCATTGAAAGCGTGCTTACATAGCATCTCCACATGGTACACCAGCAGCTCAGAAATGGACAGGAGAGCTATTCAGAGAGTCATTAGCACAACCCAGAAGATCATTGGCTGCTCACTGCCCTCCTTGAAGGAGGTCTTCAGGTCCCGCTGCCACAGCAGGGCAGCTAACATCCTGAAAGACCCATCTCATCCTGGTCATCAACTGTTCGACCTGATACCCTCCAGGCAGATGCTACAGGTCCATCACATCACGGACAAACAGACTTAAGAACAGCTTCTACCCCAGTGCAATAAGAACTGAACACTGACCAACGCTGACATTGTACACTGTCATCCATGCACTAACAGGCACTAGAGCATCTACCCGCACTTTTCCAAAACATACTCAAGGGACATTAAAAGATGTTTACGTTCATTTGCACTATATATTATTATTAAACTGCACTATCTGTAAACAGAAACACTACCATTCACATATGTGCAATACCCTCATGTGCAATAACATAGCTGCAACATTCTTTTGTATCCACTCTTTTTATTTTTACTTTATCATTTTAAATTATATTTTCGCTCCTCTAATATTGTGTGTTTTATATTTTCTCAGAGAGGCTGAGTCTTTCAGAAGTAAAGATGAAGAGGGGTTCACCACTCTGTGAAAGAATGTGCAGGTAAATAGTGCATCAATTAAAGAATAACATCTTTCAATGTAAAATAGCAAAGAACTTTGAAATTCTTTATGGAAATCATGGATACTGTGTCCTCCAGGCTTAAAACCACTCAGCTTGTTATCAACGCCCAGTTCAAAAGCCAGCATCTATGATGGTATAGGGGTGCATTAGTGCACATGGCATGAGTGACTTGCACATCTGTGAAGACACCATTAATGCTGAATCATATATACAGGTTTTAGAGCAACATATACTGCCATCCAGATGATGTCTTTTTCAGAGAAGCCTTTGCTTACTTCACCAGACAATGTAAACCACATTTTGCACTCATTACAAAAGCATGGCTCTATAGCAAAAGAGTCCAGGTGCTAAACTGGTCTGCCTGCAGTTCAGACCTGTCACCCACTGAAAACATTTGACGCATTATGACAAAAAATCTGACAGAGTGTGAACTGTTGGCAGCTGAAATTCTATGTTGTTAAAAGAAAAAGTGATGCAACACAGTGGTAAACATGCCTTTTTAAACATGTTGCTGGCACCAACTTTTCAAAAATACATTTTCTCAGTTTCAGTATGTCTTTGTATAATTTTCATTTGAACATAGAGTTTACATGATTTGCATATCATTGCATTTTTATTAACATTTTTCCCAGCATCTCAACTTATTTGGAAACAGGGTTATAATATGTGATGCAAATTTTAACATTTTATGTTAAAACCTTATAAAACAGAAATAAAATATAATGTCAAACTAGAGAATAAAATAGTTGGATGACATACAAATAGAAAATAAACAAACATTAATTCATTATTATATATATTCTTTGCTAAAAAGACCACCCACTTGCTGCTATCTGCCCATTTGCTGCTATCCACCCACTTGTGGTGTAAGTCCCTCCTACTTGGCTGGTCTCTGGTCTGCAGAGATATGCAGTTGATAAACTGGAGAAGCATAAGATTTAGTTGTGATCTGCAGTACAGCGCTGTTGAAAAAGCAGAAAGAGGAGCTAAACTACTTAGGGTAGGAATATAATACTTGTTCACAGTGTTTAGCAATATTTTCACATTAGGAATGAATGAGACCAGACCAGCCAGAGGATTTCAACATCATT